CTTGGGAAAAAGGATAGAAGCTTTAGATATGCTGAGTCTGTTTAATTAGTGGTTCAGCTTTGCTGACCCCAACTGAGACAAGTCTAGCCAACGCCATGAAAGACAAATCCCAATGAAAGAATAAAATTCAAAAGCCGCCTCTACCCCCAATCAACTTAAGATCCTATAAAGAGAAGAAACTGCAGCCTGCTCCAGAGTGGCATCCTCAGTGGGTGGAAATGCTTAGTGTTTTGCCAATCAATCAAAGCAGGCCTTCCAAATCACAAGTGAACAGGGTCCCGCCACCATTCCCTCCTTTGTCTGGGCACACAGTGACCCATGCCCAACATCAAGTATCTCGTTCCCTCCACTGTAAGCATGTTCAAATGATCAGGCAAGGCTAGCCAGGGCACAGTTTGGATTCTAAGTAGCAGTTTAAGCAAGACAGATAGGTTATCCTTGCTGAAGTAAACCTTAAGAAGTTGATGAAAATACACTAGCAACCTGAGCACTGTTATCTTGCAATATAAGATCTGTTTTCTTCTTTTAACTTGGGTCCCTTTTCCACTGTAGCACAGACATATAGCTACAGATCATTTAAAAGATGTTTAAAAAGAAATTAATCTGCTTTCCAAAGGTTTTAAAGGGAGTATTACTGTATTACTCTCCTTGCAGTTGTTAGCCATTACTTATTGGTCCTCAATGCATGTAAGTCTGTATCACTGGCCAAAGAGTTCTGATTTTCTAGAAACAGCCACATCCAGACAGCCCATTTATTGTTTTGATGTCTCTTCCCTGGACTTTTTCAGCTCCGTTAATCTCTCTCCAGACACAGCAGCCAGATTTCTCCATCTGCATTACATTCTCAAATCACAGAAATGTCCATTTTATAACAAAGGAAAACAATATTCATTTTTCACTACTACTTCATATGCAGGCCCCCACCTGTTGAAGACAGGCAGTATCCTTATGGACTGTCTGCCATGACTAGGAGCTAGGTAAGACTCCACCTGAATCATAACTGTTGACTCAGGAGTAGGCACATACTTTTTTTCTCCCTTGTTTACAAACTCCACTGAAACGTTAAAATTTTTTGCCTATTTATTTTTTATGTGTATGATTGTTTTGCTGCATGTATGTAAGTACATCATGTACGTGCAATGCCTGTGGAGGCCAAAAGATGGTATTGGATCCCCTCAAACCAGTAGTTAGCTGCCAAGTGGGTGCTGGGAACTAAACCTGGGTCCTCTACAAGAGCAGTCAGTAGTCTTAACGGGTGAGCTCTCTCTTCAACTCCTGAAATTTGTTACTTGAATACACAGGGATACTGAATCTTTCTAATAAATAAATAAATAAACAAACAAACAAATAAATGCAAGCTCCAAGTTAGAAGGGAATTTCTTGTCTGCAGCTATATCCCCAACACCTAAGAAAGCATTTATCATGAAGTCAGTGCTCAACAAATGCGATTAAATAGGCAAATAATTAATTTGGTTTTCCACTTCAGCTCAACAGACAAATGAGCAATTAAACACATGTCTTGAAGGGCCTTATAGGCAGACTTCCACCACTGGAAAAGTTGGCCTACTTTTTGTTTGGAAAAAACTAAAAAGTACTTGGTGGCGGCAGCAGTGGGGGGGGGGGCCTTGGTTAACTGTACCAAAAGACTTCTAAAGTTCTTTTCAATTACTAGACTCTATAACCCTTCAACAAATACCAGGCCTTAGGAGGGAGTATGTCCTGCATAAGGCCTGATTCCCAGGTAGAGTAATTACCACCTGTTGTTCAAAGTAAAAGGCTGCTTGGGGATGGGGAGGCAAAAATATTAATTCATGCAAAGTGTACTTTGAAGGGAAGTGCTCTTGCTCATCATCAGTTACACTCTGGAACCTGCACCTGTGCCTCAGAGTCTTCTCAGGGGCAAACCCTGAACCCAGTGGGGAAATGGCAAGCTAAGGACAAAGATTAAAAATGGAATAAACAGTATCACATTAAACTAAAGCTTTTGCTTGGTAATCACCAATGTATCTACCTAAGAAACATATGTGAATTTAGCCTTGATGTTTAAAAGGTTGTAACTGAATATAAACACTTCATAATATAGAAAATACAGCACTTGTACTGGAGAGATGGCTCAGTGGTTAAGAACACTGGCTGGTCTTACAGAAGACCCAGGTTCGAATCCCAGCACCCACATGGTGACTAACAACCATCAGTAACTCCAGTTCCAGGGAAATGGTGTCCAGTTCCGATACCCTCTTCTGACCTCCAAAGGCACTGCACAACATGGCACTTATACATATGCAGGCATAACATTCATACACATAAAATTTTTAAAATAATAATAAAAGAAAATACAGTACTTGATTGCCTGGAGAGGTGGCTCAGAGGTAGATTTCATGAAGCACAGGCCTGGGTTCAATCCCAACACTACAAAACCATCAAAAACTCCAGGCATTTCACATAGAAGCATTTCTTCTCATTAAAACTTAATTGTTATTTATCTCAAATGTCACACTAAGATGCTAAAATTTTGAACAACTTACTAAGATTGAATTTTTCTTCAATTTGGATGGGAAAGGGGTTTGTAGGGACAAAATTTATGTTTTCCTAAACAACTTTTTTAAATGTTTAATTAAATCTAAAGAAGTAACTAGAGCAGTTTCATTCAAATCAACTTTGGTGTGATTCTTTTCCATCCCAAACCTTTTCTTTCTTTTATTCAAATCACAGAATAGATAATAGAGTCTGGAGAGGCAGAAGATTTTAACATTAAGATACAATGCAGATTTATCAGGAGCTGGGTCTATAGAATCTTCTGCATTAACTGGAGTTGTTTTGAAGGCACAAACTACAGAGGTCACATTTAAAGAAGAACCCAACGAACAAACTGGAACAGTTCAATAATTCCTTGGAAATGTGATCACAGATTTTCTGTAGCATACTAAAAGCCTATTTAACTCTGTAGTCCATTCCTGATCATTCATACAACTCAGAGGGAAAAAAGTCTTGTTTTTAAGTAATTTAATCTTAATTCTAGTGACAGCAGAGAATGTGCAGAAAACAGTGACCGCCACACACATCTTTAAAACCTCCTCTATTATCTGAATGAGAATTCTTACACAAGAATTCTGTGGCATTAAGCTCACATATGGTTGGCAGACCTTGTATTCAGTACGATTACAGCCACACAACTAAATCTTAATTCCACATATTGTTGCTATTTAACTGACATATATGAACTTACTAATTTATTGAAAATGTGCAATTTCTTCCATCTCCTCCAACCCTCAAGAATGCACCAGTGATAGATGTTACTCCAAAAGCCACCCCTCCACACACAGAATATTTGCATTCCCTGAGGCTTGCCAGTGTATTTAAACAATGTATCTAAAGCATATATTATTTTACTTCTTTGTGCCCTGAAAATAAGTGTGTGTAGGGGGGGGGTAACCTCAGTCTCCTCACCAGGAAAATAGATCAGTCCAGAGACTACGCAAATGCCCTCAGTAACAGCAGACTAAGACCAATGACAAAAACATAATTTGTATGCAAGAGGAAAACAGAATTCCTAACACTATGTCGTTAAACAGTAGAGTTTAAAGGCTGAAAGACCCACAGTAACACTTAGCTATGACCAGCGCACATTTTCTGGCCGAAGGAAAAAAAAAAAAATCTTTCAAAACAACCCGCACAGCAGAACCAGCTGCTGAACTACCAAACCCAGGTAGACCTTGCAGAGCGTGACCCCACCAACTTCCTCCTGTGCTGGGACTGAGGGTGCAAAGAGGCATGAGTCTGGAGAGGTGTGAGAGCCTTGGGTATCTGGGGTTTCCCCACTTCCAGCATCATCCTAAGACTTTTTCTCTATACCTGCAAAATGTCAGGCCGCTACCTCCGACTAGCTGCATAGTTGTGCAAAGGCGAAAGAAAAGTAAGAGAGGGTTGTTAATAGGGAAGGACCTCGCCAAAGGCGCCCCCAAGGCCGAACAGGCAAAAGTGGACTATGAACACTGACAAAGAAAAAGGGAAAGAGGACTCCGCCTTTCCCACCCAGCTCAGCTCCTTTCAATAAAAAGGAAAGGCCGCCACCGCCCCTTCCCTCCGCCTTTCAGCGGGGGATGTGGAACAGACACTGAACAGCATCCTCAAAGTCCCACTCCCTCCAGCCGGCTCAGGAGAAACCCAGAGTCGTGAAGCACACTCCCAAGAGGCGCGGCCAGTGCTGGGTACCCCGGCCCACAGAGGACAGGAGCATCCTCTCCCTCCCTCTCGCTGCTTGGGGCACTTCTCCAGGCACCCACCCTCCCTTCGCTTCCTCGCACTCTCTCTTCCCCGCCGCCGCCCCCAGCCTGCCAGCCACAGAGTATTTCAGGACTTCCACCCACACCGAAAAGGGAGCCCTCTGAAAACTTTGTGTGTGTGTGTGTGTGTGTGTGTGTGTGTGTGTGTCGGGCTTTGTCCACATCCTGGGCAGGGCCGGGTCACCCGGGTGGGCGCCTGAGGGTGTCCGGAATTTCACAATGTATTGGGGGAAAGCCACCACGTAAATCCCACCCCTTGGACCCGCTTCTACAGCCGTGTGACACAGCGCTTCGACTCCCAATTTCCCATGCCCCGATCGCCCCTGGGACGCGGGAGAGCGGCGAGGAAAGCCCGGCAGCCGGCGCCTTTCTCCACCAACACCAGCTAAGCGGGGTGCGCAGGGAGAGGGAGGTAGCTGGGGAAAGCCGCGCTTCAAGGAACCCTTTTAAAGGGCGCGAGACAGAGGGGTCCTTTTCCTTCCACATCCCCAAAACAGGGGCGCACCGAGGCGATCCACTGTTGCATCAGGTAGGATCTGAGCCTGGGGCTTGCCAAGCTCCTCTCCACCCTACACGCGCGCCCAAATTCATACACACACCCACAGCCCGGGCGGTCACCATCCAGAGCCCCCCGCCCGGTACCCCCAAGTCCCCACCGCACCCGCCCCGAAGCGCAGCCCACCCGGCGCCGTGGGGAAAAGAGGCCCCGGCACTCACAGACGGTCTCCCCACGGCCACGGCCATCGCGACTGCAGCTCCAGCTGCGCGCGGCTGCTCTCTGCCGACACAGGCTGCTGCTGGCGCCCGAGCTCGGGCTGGCCTCCCCCGCGCCTCCCTCGCGGCTGCGCCCTGCTTGCAACCAGCTCCCGCGCGCAGCCAGCCGCATCAGCTCTGCCACGCCGCCCCGCCCGTTTTATTTCAGCAACATGGCCTCCCGCCTGGACGCTTCCATTCGCTGCCCCACGGCGGGGGTGCACTGCGCGCCCCAGCTCCGGTCAAACGACCAGAGCCAGGAAGGTGGCAGGGCTCTCTGCTCTCAATTTAGCCATCTTCTTTCATGGTGACTTAATTCCGTGCCACTAAGACGCCTTCTGCCAGGCCGCTGGCTGCCATCTGCGCCCCCGCTCCACCACGTGCTGGAGTCCGCGTAAAACCTGGGCACAGAGGTCCCAACCCCGGGCGGCCCTCGCGCTCTGCGAAGCCGGCATCTGGCCCTGCCACTGGGCGAGGCAGGCAAACTAGGGGACCACAGGGCTCTGGAACAGCGTCTCGCCTAAAGCTTGCCCTGGTGACACACCCCACCCGGAGGAGCCGGCTTAGAAGGTGCAGTACCCAACAAGGGAGCGCGGTGGTCTACCCACCAGGGCAAGGTGCGCCCTGCGAAGGAAGAGTTGCCCCTGCCCGGGAGTTTCCCATCAGAAAGGAGACTAAAAGGCCAGCTGGGAACTGTCATTGTCAAGTGCAGCCAGGTAGGGGACCACACTGAAAAGGAAGAAGCCCGTAATAGGTGCTGCGTATCACCCTACCACCGACTGCTTGAGACAGAAAAGAAAAAATATCCCTGCTGGAGAATTAAGGCCGCTGTTCCAGGACGTGGGACATAGGCTTCCCACGGTGTGACCTACTCCTGCAGGCTCAGCCGGGATACTGGATCGCAGGAGACAGACCCGATGACCCAAGGCGTGCAAGCCCGGCCTTGGCTGCTCTGTGGGGCGAGGCGACAGCGCCCTGCGGGTGACAAGTGGGTGCGACTCGCGGGCGTGGGATTGAGGAACTCCTACAATCGGAAAGGATTTTCCCCGCAAATGTTAGAGCTTTATTGTGTCTATGTGGCGGGCGGGATGGTGGGGTCCTAGTGCATGTGAAGTTGTATGGCGCCTGAGCATCCGCTGGGTGGTGAGGGGTGTCACGAGCTGGAGGGGGAACCCACGATAACAAGATGTTCGCTTGGTACTTGACAGAGTTGAGGGAACCAGGTGAATTTACACAAGGAAAATATGAGGCATTGAAGGACTGGGTTCTGCCCACGTGACTGGGCCCTCAGGGGAAATTAGGCCTATTGAATAAGGTAAAAAACTACCTGTTTGAACCTAGGCGCCTCTGAGTCTGCGCTGACACTTCACAGATTCAGGTTTCTGAGGGCCTTGAGTTTGCCCTTCCTATCCTGTGATTCACAGGATTCAAAGGCACTGTGCATCATTTGGCTGCGGTTGGTTGGTTCTAATAGCACTTGTACGCCCCGCAATGGATCAAATGTTGGGGGCTGTGGTAGGTGGGGAGAGGACTGGAATACTCCCAGAGTGACTCCCACTGGCACTGGCTGAAACAGTGGGAGAAAAGAGGGTGGTGGAGAAAGAAAGGTGAATGGCGCTGACTGGAACCTGATGTCTGGTTCACCCAGACTTGAACAGCATTAACCTCAGTTTTGAGCACTTTCTGATCGGTAGACATCAAGTCTTTTGAGAATAGGGACCCCATCATGCACCCCCTCTGTAAGTGTAAGGTGCCACGTGGATGGGTGCTGTGCAAAGTGAGGGAGAAAATTGCTTTCATCTGCGGTTCTAATGGGGTGAATGAGGTGTTTTGTCCCTTGGCCCACATGGAGTATCTATGGGAGTGGATAAGAGATATTAGGGAAGTCTTAGGAAAAAAGGGTTCAATACACTGCCAGCAATTGTGAGGGCAATTGGTAAGGAATTCAACGCAGAATTGCATTTGTTTATAGTTTGAATTTTGTTTGTGTATGTTTATTGTAAATTCAGGAACCTAGGTCCAAAATCCTGGCTTACCACCTCACAGCTGTGCTGTTCTGGGTAGGTTACCACTTAACCTTTCAGGACTTCAATGTCTGTTTAAAAATTTTCTCCCAGCCAGGCATGGTGGTGGAAGCCTTTAGTCCCGGCATTTGGGAGGCAGAGGCAGGTGGATCTCTGTGAGTTCGAGGCCATCCTGGTCTACAAAGTGAGTTCTAGGCCAGCTGGGGCTAGAAGGAGACCCTGTCTCAAAAACACCAAAAAAAAAAAAAAATTTTTTTCTCCCTGTGCTGGGGCCTTAGCTCAGTGGTACAGTACTTGCCTACAGAGTTCCTGGGTTAGAGCTCTAACATCAGGGGGAGAAAAAAACTTTTTTAAAGTTCCTAGCACTTGAGACGCAGAGGCAGGAGGATCACTGTGAGTTTGAGACAAGTCTGGGCTACAAAGTTAGATCTTGTCTCAATACCCATCCCAAAACAAACAAACAAACAAACAAAAAGCCCACAATGAACATTTTGTCAGAATAGGAAAGGTCTATTCCTAAAACAGGAGCTAAAACCGGGACGAGAACAAGAAGAAATTCTAGAGTTGGGAATAGAGGGAACAAAGCATAGAGGATACTGTAGGAAGAAAAGGAACTCTAGCATTGGAATATAGGAACCTTAAAGGGACCATGACAGTGTGGGGAGAACATGGCACTTCAACCACAACTTACCAAGCTACAAAACATGCTAGCTTTGGGACATCAATCCAACTGGACTCTTCATTCCGTCCCACCACCCCCATACCTTTTCTCTATCATAAAGTAGGGTAGTTGGGACAGAAGGGATGGCTTAGTGGTTAAAGGCATTTCCTGCCCTTACAAAAGACCCAAGTTCAGTTCCCTGTACCCACATAGGTAGACTCACAACTGCTTATAACTGTAGCTTGTGGAGAATCTGTGTCCAAGGTCACCTGCACTTATGCACACAAAACCACACACGCTCACACACACACACACACAATTAATAAAAATCTTTAAATAAGATAGTAACAGTAAGCCCTGTTTGCTGGATCCTTCTCTACCCTGCTCTCTGCCTCTAAGAGTCTGACCTCAGAGGGATTTCCTTTGACTTCAGGAAATAGAAATCAACAGAAGCACTGGGGTAGATAAGTGTTTACTCCCAAAGCTCTCTTGCCATAGTACTATTGCAGGCTGGCTGGTTCCTTTAAAGAAGAGTCATTTTCTTCTTCAGGGTGACTTGGAGTAAACCCTTATGGTTTACCTATGTTGTGCCCATACCTTTGTGAGTCTTTTTATTGAACTCACTCCAATTATTCAATAGGAAGATTCCATCTTATTCTTCCTGAACCTTAACAGGTAACAGTCCTTCAAAGAACTGTTTTGTGAGTTAACTGGGAACACTTGAATATGCTTTTATTGGGATGGTGTGTAATTTTTTTGTCCAAACTTGGAACTTCTGGGATTGAAATGGGAGGCTGGTATTATACATAACTACAGAAGACAGCAGGCAGAAACTTACTGTCACCCCAACCATTATAGCAGATAAACTAGGTGAGAAGTTGCCATGTTAATACACATCTTTTGGTAGACTATGAACTTCTCAAAGTATGAATGCTTATTTCTCTTTTGGCTTGGTGTCTAGCACCCAATGTTAAATGTTCAATAAAGTTGAATGATCAATAAGTACATCTTCAGTAAATGTTGAGTTGCATTTGAATGGAGATGAAATTAGGGACCAAGGCTATGAAAAATCATCATTGTCATGTCAGGATTTAGTCCTGTGTTCAGTGAAGAGCCCAAGGGGCTAGTAAGCATAGAAGTGACTTCAAATTTCATTTTAGAAAAGATATACACTGCATGTCTGACACTGTAATGTAGGATCTATCCCCCCCCTTTTAATAGAATCTGATTATTTGGAGAGATTTTCAAGTAAATGTTTTACATTGGTAGAAAGTATATCTCTGTCATAAAAAGTTCCCCAAAGACTATTTTGCTTCCCTTCATGCCCTCAAGAGAGCATGTGATCTAAGCGTGAGTCAAACACTGTTTGAATCGAGTTAAGTGACATGAAGACAGTTAATGCATTCTGTGGTTTATTCTTTGTTATTTTTTTAAGTCATTGAACCAGTTTTTAATGAAAGTCACATATAAAGTTACTCTACTCCTTCCCAATTGTTTCTTCTTTCTATTTGCCCTTTTCTCTTCCTACTTGGTGAGATTTGGCTTTCTGTTCCAGGATCTTTTTATGGTCTTTGTCCAGCTTTAGCCTGATGAGGACCACCTCACTGGGGTGAATGCCCACATGAACAGTTGTGCCATGTAGATAACATACTTCCTGTGAACCTGGGCCACTTTGTCAGTCTGCTGACCTTCATAGTGCCCTTATACAATGTGAATCTTACCATCCTTTTCAAAGGGCATAGATTGAACATTATATTTCTCTCTCAGCTCTTTGGCAAGAGGAGAGGACATAATTTTCTTCTGAATGTGAGAAATTGCATTGGAATATTTCAATCAGAAGTCACAAAGGGATTGACTTCATTTTGGCAGCTGCTGCTCCAGCAGTGATCACAAGAAAGCACCACTTGCTCTTCATTTTTGGAACACACACCTTTAATCCCAGTACTGGGAAGCAGAGGCAGGCAGATCTATGTGAGTTCCAAGTCATCTGGGGCTATAGAGAGACCCTGTCTCAAAAAGACAAAAAAAAAAAAAAATCACTCTGACTACAGTACAAGAAAGAGATACCATAAACACAATGTAGTTACAATGAGAAAAGAGATGCAATCAAAACCAGGGAGAGTAAGTTAGAAAATATTAATTTAGAGGCAGGCAGATCTCTGTGAGTTCAAGGCCAGCCTGGTCTACATAGTGAGTTCCAGGACAGCTGGAGCTACAGGGAGACCCTGTCTCAAAAAGACCAAAAAAAAAAAAAAATAGTAAAACAATAGATCTTGAATTCCTTCTGCAACATTATGTAAAAATGTTCAATAATAAAGTTTAAAATGTATACAAATTAGAGAGGAAAATCTAAAACTATTTCTCTTCAAGAATGACATAAATGTATATATGGAAAATCCTAAGGACACTAAAAACAAAGCTAATAAATGAGATCAGCAAAGTTATATAGAACATAAGAAAAATACATAAAAAT